TATATATATATATAAAGAGAGAGAGAGAGAGAGAGAGAGAGAGAGAGAGAGAGAGAAAGCCACCAGGTCTGGGACTTGAACCGTGGTCAGTCATGTGGGAGTGTTCAGCGCCTTAACCACCACGCCACCTGCTTGTCCCAAGATCAGGCTCTTGAGGTCCCAATCACAGTACGGCCTTTGAAGGAGTGGGGACAGGGGTTTTGGGGGGAGGCACAGACACACCCATTATACAGGCCCTCTTCCCAAGAATCATGTTAGGGATTTGGTACCTCCTGCATTCCACCTGACCCCTCTGCCTGGTGGGGTCTGCTCCCTCTTCCCCTCTGAACAGGGGCCCCAGTGGTGCTCCCAGGTAACAGTGTCAGTCCACACCACACCCTTCCAGAAGCAGATGGGTAGAGAAGGGTGCTGAGGCCCCAACTGGGCACCAGATGGGGAAAGGAAAGGTTTGTTCAGAAGCCTTATCCTGGGGGTTTGCTATGAGTAGGGTGTCAACGTAAAGATGCACCCACACTTAGCACTCACTGGAATTTGGGACTGGAAAAAAACATTTTTTTTTGGTGTTTGTTTGTTTGGTATAAACTGCATGTGCTTGTCAGAGACAGACAGGGAAAGTGAGAAAACACCCCAAGGATGATAACCACATGGCAATCCCTTCTTCATTCTCAGAATTTTGGACACCCACACACAAAATGCCCAGTGTTTTCTTTTTCTTTTTGGAGAGTTTTTTTTTTTTTTTTTTCCTTTTTTTGGAGAGGTTTTTGCTATAGGGCACATGCGCTCGCCAGACAGACAGAGACAGAGAGACAGAAAGTGAGAAATCACCCCCAGGGGGGATGGCCATGCCGCAATCCCTTCTCCATGGAGAGGTTTTTGCTATAGAGCGTGTGCACTTGCCAGATGGACACAAGAAGACAGACAGAAAGTGAGACATCACCTCCATTCTCCTCTTGGGATCTTGGGCACGCTCGCACACGTGCTCGGCATTGAGTTTAAGCCACCGGGTCCAGGACTCAAACTGCAGTTGACTACGTGGGAGTCCAGCAACATAGCCATTATGCCATCTGCTGGTTCCATGCCCAATTTTCTATGCCACCGGGTCCAGGACTTGAACCATGCAATCGGTCTTATGGGATCCAGCTGCCTTAACCACCAGGACACGGGCTGGCCCTGAAGATAGACTTTAAAGTACGCTTAGAACTATGCTTCCTAAAGTTCTTGGCTGTTGGGGAAGCAAAAACCTCCAGCAGGCTGATTCTTTCATGCTGCCTACACTATGCTTCCTGAGATGCAGCGAGTGGGTTCTTGGAAAGGATAAGGGTCCAGCCAGGCTTCTGAGTAACACCCAGGCTGGGAGACCCCTCCCTACACATTCCACCACTGCCAGTCTGCTGTGCCTTTCCAGTGAGATGGTGGCAGCTTTCCGCTGCACAGGATCCCAGGGGTCGTGTCGTGACCATAATTGCTGTTTTAGGACACATGCCAGAAGACAGAGAGAGGGGAAAGTGAGAGATCCACTCCTCTTGGGATTTTGGTCATGCACACACACACATGCCTGGCATGATGTTCAAGCCACCGGGTCTGGGGCTTGAACTGCGCAGCTGGCTATGTGAGATCCAATGCCTTACCACCACCTGCTGGCCCAAAGACACCACTGAGAGGAAGGTATTTGTATCATGGAAGGATAAACACCATTGTTAAGCCTCCTTTCAGTACCTGAGCTATTCAAGTGGGAGACAGAAAGGACAACAAAACACAGGCTGCGTTGGGACCAGCAGTTAATGTAATGGCTACGTTGCTGGACTCCCATGTGGTCAACCGCAGTTCGCGTCCTGGACCCGGTGGCATAAAACTCATGCCAGGCGTGCGTGTGTGCCCAAGATCCCGAGAGAATGGAGGAGAAGGGATTGCGGCGTGGCCATCCCCCCTGGGGGGTGATTTCTCCCTGTCTGTCTGGCGAGCACACGTGCCCTATAGAAAAAACAAAACACCAAACACAGGCTGCGTTTAACTCTCACCAACCCCCCCCCAAAACAAACCAAACACAGGTTGTGTTTAACTCTAAGATAGGGGCTGATTTAGGGGCACTGGACTCCCACATGGTACTGACCCTGGTTCAAACCCCAGACCTGGTGGCTTGCTTTCTCACTTTCTCTGTCCCTCTTTGGTCAAATTAAGATAAATAAATAAAAAGGACCAGCAGGTGGTGTGGTGGTTGAGGTTTTGGACATTCCCACATGGCCGACCACAGTTCGAGTCCTGGATCTGGTGGCTTACTTTCTCTGTCTGTGCGTGTGTTTCTCTCTGGTCAAATTAAAAAAAAAAAAAAGTGAATGAATAAATAAAATTAAATAATTATAAATAAATAAATACTCCCTTCCCCCTCAAAAACAAACCTCCAAGATAAAAGGGGTTTCTAAAAGTTTGGAAAAAACTGCTTCAGAAAAACATTTTTTTTGCACCAAAATAAACGAGTACTAGAGACTAGCAGTTAGCGTAATGGCTATGTTGCTGGACTCCCACGTAGTCAACCATGGTTCGAGTCCCGGACCCGGTGGCTTAAAAAAAAAAAATACTCACGCCGGGCGCGTGTGCGTGTGTACCCAAGATCCCGAGAGGAGAATGGAGAAGGGATTGCGGCGTGGCCATCCCTCTAGGGGGTGATTTTTCGCTTTCTGTCTCTCTGTCTCTGTCTGTCTGGCGAGCGCACACGCCCTATAGCGAAAACCTCTCCAAAATAAACTCGTATTTTCATTTCATTTTCCAGGAACTTTCTGGAGTTGCTTCACATCCGCCAAGTTTTCCAGGCTGAGTTTGGGCTGCTGATGTGAACGTGCTGCAGAAGGTGCTGTCGTTAACCTCACGTGGCCTGTGAGGGGGATGCTGGGGCTTTCCTGGAGACCATCGTACCCTCTCAACCCCATGGGGCACAGACACAGGTAGAGGCAGGGCTTCTTAAAATCTTGGATGCTGCTTTATTTACCAAAGGTGCTGGCCCAGGTAGTTCCGCTTGCCAGGCCACTGATGGCCATGGCGGTCCCAGCTCAGTCTTCCAAGGGCGAGGCCAGGCAGCCTCGCTGCAAGGGGTCAGGGGAAGCAGTGTTCCCTCCTGGGTAGTGGCAGGGGGCCCCCCCCGACGGCCACTTTTTTCCTGCCTGGGTGGTGGCAGGGCTCCCGCCCGGCGGCAGCCAGGGTGGGCAGTGGGTGCTGGCACCGCCGTCTCAAGAAGGCACTTTCAGCTTCGGGGTCCCCAGGAAGAACTGGAGGACACGGTCGGCCAGGAGCGCCAGGCAGAAGTCTAGGAGCAGGACCTGGGCGATGACCAGCTTGAACTGTTGGGGCGGGGAGAGACGGTGAGCGGGGGTCTGCAGCTGGGCCCCAGGTCTCCGCCCGGTAGCCACTCACCTCCACGGGGATGTCCACGAGGCCAAACTGGCTGTTGAAGTCAGGGGAGGAGCCAAGGAGCAGGCCGACGATGGCCAAGAGTGACACGGCCAGACTCCACACCAGGGGCTTGTTCTCCGGCAGGCTCTCCATGAAGGGTGGGCCCTGCCGGGACAGGGAAGCTAGGAGGAGGGGCTGCTTGGGGCGGCCCTGCAGGGAGGGGGACTGGGAATGAGGACTGCCGCTGTCCGGCGGGGGTCCAGTGGGTGAGTGTGCCGGGCGGGGGGCGGTGGGCAGCTCACCTTGTAGTTGATGGCGAAGGTGGCCATCTGCATGGCCATGGCCATGATGTACACTGTGCTGTTGACCAGGCTGGGCTCGAACTCCTTGTACAGGTCCACAAACTGCTCCTGTCTGCAGGGACACGTGGAGGTCAGGCCCCTGCTCCTGCTCATGTGCGCTCTAGGGCTCCCTCTCGGCCTGGCACCGAGCCAGGGCCCTGCCCACTGACCCTGCCTGTGTAGCCGCCTCACGTCCCTCCTGGTCACCCCTTGCATAGGCGTCTTCCTGCCCCCCTATCTTTCCCCATTGTCCCTGCGGGGGAATCACCTCTTGGAAGGGGCAGCACTTACTTCTCAGGGCTCCGGGCCTGGGCCTCCCTGTACAGGAAGACGAGGCTCAGGAAGTGCACGAAGAACTGGCACATCACAGTGAGGACTGTGTACAGGTTGAAGATGTTGGGCAGGGGCCGCTCTCGGGACAGGGTCTTGAGGGGCTGCAGTGGTAAGGGGAGAGGGTCAGGGCCTGGGCCACTCTGCCGCTCACCAGGCAGTAAGACTTCCTGCCTCTGAATCCTGGGGTCATGGGCTGCTGCCCTGACCCAGGTCCTGTGTCCTTGCTCACCCCAGGAATCATGGGGGTCTTAAAATCATGAAGCAGATGGGACCAGCAGTTGGCATAATGGCTATGTTGCTGGACTCCCTTATAGTCGACCGTGGTTTTAGTCCCAGACCTGGTGGCTTAAACTCATGCCGGGTGCATGTGTATGCGTGCCCAAGGTCCTGAGAGGAGAATGGAGAAGGGATTGTAGTGTGGTCATCCCCCCTGGGGGGTGATTTCTGTCTTTCTGTCTCTCTGTCTTTCAGGCGAGCACACGCGCCCTACAGCAAAAACCTCTCCAAAGAAACAAACAACCCCCCACCAAACCCCAAACAGAACAAAATTTCCAATCCGGGGTGATGCCTGCAATGGCTGGCCCTGGCCGGCCCATGCCTCCCCAGCATGTGTGGGGCCCACCTTGGAACGGGAGATGAAGAGGAAGCAGCCGGCCAGCAGCAGCCCCTGCAGGGTAGCCTGGAAATCGCTGAACTTGACTCCTTCCAGGTAGAGGACACTCTGGCTGTAGGCCAGGATGAGGGCGTTGAGCGCCAGGATCTTGAACATCTGCAGCGTGGTCACCAGCGTGCAGCGGCCCTGCTTGATCACGTGGCAGACTGGAGGGTGGCAGGGGAGGCGGGTGTGGGCGGGGCGCCAGGCAGGGGCAGGTGGGCGCTGGGGTTGGGGGTGGGACTCACTGCACTGGATGGACGAGAGCTTGGAGGTGAAGGGCGCCGCGATGCTGGCGTCGCCCAGCTTCACGATGGGCGTGCTCTCGTCCTCGAGGTCCCGCAGCACCTGGCTCAGGCGGTCCTGTTGGGGTCGGGTAGCGGCGGGGGGGGGCCACGGCGCTGTGGGGCCTCCCAGCCCAAGACTCACCCGCTGGGAAGTCAGCTGGTCCTCGGGGGGTGGCAGCCCTGACCTCTGCTTGGCTGACCTGGAAGTGACCCTGACCCCACTGTTGCTCAGGGTCGGACTGTCTCGGGGCCGCCGCCGCCGCTCTACAACCCGCTCGGGGGCGTTGGCCAGGAGTGCCACACCTGGGGTAGGGACACTGTGTCAGAGCCGGAGGCCACTGACCCCAGGCCCCTCTGTTGTTTTCATCTAGAACAGTTTCCAAACCTCCCCACTTGCACTTCACCTCCCTAAGGAGACCTCAGAGCATGTACACCTTGCTTCCTACGAGTTACTCAAGAAAACATGCGGTCAGCAGATGGTGTAATGGTTACATTGCTAGAGTCCCACAGAGTTGACAGCAGTTCTAGTCCTGGACCCGGTGGCTTCAAACTCATACCAGGTGCATATGCGTGCGAGCATGCCCAAGATCTTGAGAGGAGGATAGGGAAGGGATTGCGGCGTGGCCACCCCGAGGGAGCGATTTCTCGTTTTCTGTCTCTCTGGTGAACATGTGTACCCTATAGCAAAAAGTCTCTCTTAAAACAAAACAAAACAAAACAAAACAGGACCAGCAGTTAGCGTAATGGCTATGTTGCTGGACTCCCATGTAGTCGACCATGGTTCGAGTCTCGGACCTGGTGGCTTAAACTCACGCCGGGCATGTGTGCGTGCGTGCCCAAGATCCTGAGAGGAGGGAGAATGGAGGAGAAGGGATTGCGGCGTGGCCATCCCCCTGGGGGGTGATTTCTCGTTCCCTGTCTCTCTGTCTTTCTGGTGAGCGCACACACCCTACAGCAAAAACCTCTCCAAAAAAACAAAACAAAACAAGACAGGGACCACCAGGTGGTGTGGCGGTGAAGGCACTGGATTCCCACATGGCCGACTGAGGTTTGAGTCCTAGACCTGGTGGCTTGCTTTCTTATTCTCCCTTTCTCTCACTCTCTGCCTGATAAAATGGAAGAATAACAATAAATAAATAAAATTAAATAAAAAAAAATGGCATAGCTGTCTTTAAAAAAAAAGAAAGGAAAAACAAAACAGAACAAAACAAGCACAGCAATTAAGTCCTGTGTAGAGGAAGCTGAATCCCACATGGCCGATCAGAAAATGAACTCTGGCCCGGGAGACTCATAACACTATTCTTCATATGGGACCAGCAGTTGGCATGGTGGCTATGTCACTGGACTCCCATATAGTCAACCGCTGTTGGAGTCCCAGACCCGGTGGCTTAAACTCATGCTGGGGGCATATGCATGCATGCCCAAGATCCTGAGAGGAGAATGGAGAAGGGATTACAGCATGGCCATCTCCCCAGGGGGTGATTTCTCGCTTTCTGTATCTCTGTTGAACACATGCATTCTATGGCGAAGAACTTAAACAAACAAAAACTCCCCCCCAAAAAACAAAAAACAGACTGGGTTAGGGCCAGGGGGTGACATGGTGGTTAAGGTACTGGGTCCTACGTGGCCTACTGTGCAGTTTAAGTCCTGGACCCAGTGGGTGGAAAAACATACTAGGGGGACCAGTAGTTGGCGTAATGGCTATGTCTCTGGACTCCCATGTAGTTGACTGCGGTTTGAGTCCTAGACCCGGTGGCTTAAACTCACGCTGGGCGTGCGTGCGTGCGTGCCTAAGATCCGGAGAGGAGAATGGATTATCCACTGGGGGGTGATTTCTCGCTTTCTGTCTATCTTTCTGGTGAGCACACACACCCTATAGCAAAAACCTCTCAAGAAAAGAAAAGAAAAACATACTAGGAGTGTGTGCCTGTGTGCCCAAAATCCTGAGAGGAGACTGGAGAAAAAGGAACAGTGGTGTGGCCATTCTCTCTGTCAAGTGCATGGCAAAAATCTAAAAAAATAAAATCAAAACCAAAAAACTAGGCAGGTTCAAACATAGTGTCAAGGATTCCTAACAAGATGGCGATTTGGAGGAGAAAGAACTGCAGTGTAAGTAGGACCCGTTGAGGATTGCCGTTCCTTGACTTAAAAAAACCAAAACAAAACAGATTTCTACATACACTCACGACCAAGGAGCATAATTCTAGGAGGTAAATAGGAAAATCATACCTGAGAGGCCCTGGGGGCGCCATTGCTTGGGAAGTCACATTTGGAGACCCGGTTTGTTTCCTAGGCCAATGTGAACATGCCAGGTATGGTTGTGCATACCTGTGACCCTAACTTATCAGAAGGCTGGGCAGGAGGATCCCGACATGGCCAGACCCTGTCAAATATGCCTCTCTTTCTTCCTTTCCTTCTTTCTCTCGTTATTTTTCTTTTTTTGGGAGAGATTGTTTGTTATAGGGTGCATGCGCTCGCCAGCAAGACAGAGAGACAGAAAGTGAGGAATCACCCCCCCCCAGGGGGGATGGCCACGCCACAATCCCTTCTCCTCCATTCTCTCGGGATCTTGGGTATGCACGCACACGCGCCTGGCATGAGTTTAAGCCACGGGGTCCAGGACTCGAACCGCAGTTGGACTACATGGGAGTCCAGCGACACAGCCATTATGCCAACTGCTGGTCCCATCCTTTTCTCCTTCTTGTAAAGACCACCACCCCCCACAACACACAAAAGAAAACCTGATAAATGCTTCAGCAGATAAGTGGATTAATACTGAAAAAGTACAAAAACTACATCAGGTAGATCTCTGAAATTCAACTTAACATCTGTTTTTCTTTCTTTTTTTTAGTTTAGAGTGTTTTTTTTATTTTCTTGCTACAGGGTGCATGTGCTCGCCTGAGAGATAGAAAGCAAGAAATCACTCCTCTGTAGCCCTCCATTCACCTGGGATTTTGGGTAGGCACGCACACGCACCCGGTGTTGAGTCTTAAGCTGCCGGGTCTGGGACTCGAACCGCAGTGGACTACATGGGAGTCCAGCAATGTAACCATTACACCTGGACATCCGCTGGTCCCTAACACTTGCTTTTCTGACAGAAACCCAAGGCCATGACCCAGTGGCAATCCAGTTTTGAGCTGCTCTGTCTGCATGTCTCACTTGCCCTGTTCCCACCCCATCTCATGGACACTCAATCTCCTTCTGCCCTTGCAGCCCTGGAGTTCTTCGGGTCCTGCCTCCTCACAGGAACCAACACGCTGTGTTGGCCTGACCCAGGAGGGAGGAGCAGGCCCCGTCCACCCGCATGCAGCCTCACCTACGTCAGCGTGCTTCAGGGCACCCACGTCGTTGGTGCCATCCCCACACATGAGGGTCACATAGCCGAGCTCCTTCAGGCTGGTGATGACGAACTCCTGCGTGGACAGAGATGGACTGAGCAGGGGCTGTGTATCTGCCCCAAGGCCCCTGCGCCCACGAGGCCCCACACATACCTTCTGTTTGGGGGCCACGCGGGCGAACACCTGCACGTGGGGGATGAGGCGGAGCAGCTGCTGGGGATCCGAGGCCTGCAGGTGGGCCAGGCCGTCCCCCGTGAGGCACAGCGCGTACTCCGCGGCCAGTGCCTTTGGGGAGCCCCGGGCCAGCGGCAGCACGATGGTGCCGTCGATAGAGCGCCACTGGCACGTCTGGCCTGCGGAAGATGGGGGCTCAGTCACCCAGGTTCAGAACATAGAGCACTAGCTGGTTTCCCCTCCAGAGCTCCTAGCTCCGTATCCCCCCCACAACCCCTGCCTGGATGACATCCAGCCCAGACACCTGGGTGCTCCACAGAGAACGTACATAAAACCCTCCGGTACGGGGAGAACTGGGAACTCAGGGCCTGAGCTATAAGCCATGTGGGATCATGTGACAGGGCTGAATTTTGATCCCAGGCAGACTGACCACAGAAGCTAAACCATCTGTCCCTTCTCACTTTCTGTCTGTCTCTATCTTTCTGGCGAGTGCATACGCCCTATAGCAAAAACCTCTTAAAAAAAAAAAAAAAGAATTATTTGATCTTTATTTTATTTTAATGTGACCATAGAGGAACAGAGACAGACAGAGAAGTGAGAGAAACATTTTTTTAAAGATAATTATTTTTCCACAGGGCACGTGCATTCTCTGGAGAGATAAAGTGAGAAATCACCCCCCAGAGGGGATGGCCACGCCGCAATCCCTTCTCCTCCATTCTCTTCTCGGCATCTTGGGCACGCACGCACATGCCCCCTATGTGTTTCAAGCCGCTGGGTCTGGGACTCGAACTGGAAGACCAGCAATGTAACCACTATGCCATCTGCTGGCCCCCATTAGAAACTTAAATCCCCAGGCTGGCTCCATGGCCTGGTGGTTAAGGTGGAGGATCTCACATGGCTGACTGCAGTTTCAATTCTAGTCCCAGACCCGCTAGCTTGACAAACATGCTGGGGTGGTGGTGTGTATGCACGAAATCCCGACAGGAGGGAGAGATGGTAGAGGAGGAAGAATCGTGTGGTGATCACACCCTATGAGTGGGTAACCCTGCCCCATCGGAGATGCTTCCTCCCTTTCTCTCTGGTATGTACATAGGCCCTCTGGCAAAATCAAAGCAAACAAAAACCCCTCAATCCTCAAATTCATTTATGTGTACAAACACACATGTGTAAATATATAAAGCTTAATATACACATATATGTACACATAAAGCTTAACATATACATACATATAAAGGAAGGAAGGAGACACACAGACGGCACACCCAATAGGGCCTCGATGCTGCCAGCCTCAGCCAATCCCGTACCACATGCACAGGGTGTCCAGTGAACTCAACAAGTTCTCCAGCTGATGGGTCCAGCAGTTAGCGTAATGGCTTTGTCGCTGGACTCCCATGTAGTTGACCGCAGTTCGCGTCCTGGACCCGGTGGCTTAAAACTCATGCCAGGAGCATGTGTGTACGTGCCCAAGATCCCAAGAGGAGAATGGAGAAGGGACTGCAGCGTGGCCATCCCCCTTGGGTGGGGGGTGATGTCTCGCTTTCTGTTTCTCTCTGCCTGGCGAGCGCACGTGCCCTATAGCAAAAACCTCAGTTCTCCAGCTGCAACCCTGGAACCTTCCTGGCTCAGTCTCGCAGAGGTCCCATTTTACGGGACCACCATCTGGCCCCCAAAGTCACCTTAGTGGGTGAATGGCATTAGAGGCTTGATGAAGAGAGACCAGCTTTTGTCCTCTTGCCGTGCGATGCCCTCTTGGTGTTACGACATGGCAAGGTGGCCCTGGCCAGATGCCAGCCTGCTGACCTTGAACTTCTCAGGCAGCAGAGCTGTGAGCCAAGCGCAAACCTCTGTGCTTTCTGAATGCCCTGCCTGTGGTACTCAGTCGTGGCATGGAAAACAAAGACACACACACACACACACACACACACACTCCCTGCACCACGGGACCCTCACCTGATGAATCCCTGGCTCCATGATACACCTGAAATCCGGCTTTTCCCAGGGCCAGGTTCCCGGTCCACTAACTGTGCTCTCAAACCACTTCCTGAGACCGGCAGTTGGTGTAACGGCTATGTTGCTGGACTCCCATGTAGTTGACTGCGGTTCGAGTCCCAGACCCGGTGGCTTAAACTCACGCCAGGTGCGTGTGTGTGTGTGTATGTGTGTGCACTCAAGATTCTGAGAGGTCAATGGAGAAGGGATTATGGCATGGCCATCCCCCTGGGGGTTGATTTCTTGCTTTTTGTCTCTCTCTTTCTGGCGAGCGCATGCACCCTATAGCAAAAACCTCTCAAAGAAAAAAAAATAAAAAAGAAACAAAACCACTTCCTCTTTCTCCCTGGCTTGGATGTTGGGCTCTGAGGCTCAGGATGGCCTCCTAGCCCACTCCGCACTGAACTGCTCATCCTCGGCCTGGCTTTTACTAGCCATTTGCTTAGTCACACTGCTTGTCAGTCAACAGATTTGATTGTCCCCTCCAGGCCACCTGCCCATGGCCCCTGGGCTCTGCAAGAACCTGGCACCCAGGACTGCGGTGGAAACAGATCTGAGATTAAGAGTCTGCAGACAGTACGGCCAGGCATTAGTAATACAATTGGACCACACTGGAAATGTCCTGGGTTTGGGTCTTGGGACCTCCCTGAGAGCATGCTGGCTGAGGCAGGGAGTGAACCACGGTGTGAAGACTCTGTTAGGGTTACCTCTACCTCTCTCTCATGTAAGAAATAAACTTAAAAAAAAAAAAAAAAAAAAAAAAAAAAAAAGTACAGACAGAAAAACAAAACAAAAACAAAACTCTGCATCCTCTGAGAAGTTGCTAGAAGGTTCCAGAAGCTGCCTTAGCTGGGTTCTACCTAGCACTCCTGGACACCCTATGAATGTTAACCACCTGTTGCCCTGCAAGGTCCCTGCTCTGCTTGGCTCCTCTTAGGACCCTTGTTGCTCCCAGCCCACGTTCTGCACAGAAGACCTCCTGGGGCCTCATCCCCAGCACTGGGACATGTGTCTGACTGACAGACCCTACATCACCAGTTGCGAGGTGCTGGGGCTGGATTTGTCTTCCCCTGGGTCTAACTCAAAGTAGTCACTTGGAAAAGGCTGGGAGGCGTAAACTCTAGAGACAGACAGCCTGGGTTCAAATCCTTCACCAGGGGCCAACAGGAGTAGTGGTTAAAGTGCTGGGCTCCCATGTGGCAGACCAGGATTTCAGTCCTGGACCTGGCAGATTGAAAATCACATCGGGTATGTGTGCATGTGGGCCCCAAATCCCAAGAGAATGGAGAAGGGGAGATTGTGGCATTCCCTGGAGGAGTGATATCTCACTTTCTCTCTCACTGTCTCTCTGGCGAGTGTACATGCTCTATGGCAAAAACTTAAAAAAGGGACTAGCAGTTAGCGTAATGGCTATGTCGCTGGACTCTCATGTACTTGACTGCGGTTCGAGTCCCGGACCTGGTGGCTTAAACTCACGCCGGGCGCGTGTGCGTGCGTGCCCAAGATCCCGAGAGAATGGAGAAGGGACTGAGGCGTGGCCATCCCCCCTGGGGAGTGATTTCTTGCTTTCTGTCTCTCTCTTACTGGTGAGCGCACGCGCCTTTTAGCAAACCCCCCACCCCCCCAAAAAAATCCTTTCTAGGGGGATGCTGAGTGATCTGGAGAAATAGGTCTGCTTATGAGCTTGTTTCTGTGTCTACAAAGCAGGGGCCCCAAGAGCTGGCTCAGTCTGCTTCCTTCTCCGGGGCAGGGGAAACAAGCCACCTGTGTGTGGCCGGCTGGGGTGGAAGAACTGATGTGGTAACAGGTACTCCTCTCTACGGAGGATCTGTGCACTTGGCAAAGAGCCACCAGACTTCTGGGGGCAGGAGTCGTCCCTGGCTCTGGAAGCCTGCTGGGCCCAAACAAGTGTGAGGACGAGAGAGTGAGAAGGTGCACCTGGAGCAGCCTCCACCTGTGACGGGAGCCTGAGCTGCGGTGACTAACCAAGACTTCACTACTGTCTGTCGATGCTGCAGATCCCAGAACCAGGGACCCAGTGAGGGCCCCTCTGCTGCCCGAGCTCCAGAGAGTTCCCACCTATGAGGTAGAGGTGTGTCTGGCCTAGATGCCCATTGGGCTGGGACTGTGGTCACTGGTGCCAGGCACTTGAGATCGCCGTACTGCTTTGAGGCCTGGCTGGCAGATGGGCAGGTGGGATGCAAGCTGTTCTTGAACTCAGGGCTCCCTGCGCACCCACAGTGCAGGGGCTCACCTTTCCCGGAGGGAGGCTGCAGGATCAGCGTGTGGGCCTTTTCAATGAAGTGCAGCTCCTGGGCCACATGGCAGGCGGTGAGCGGGTTGTCTCCTGTGATCATGACCACCTTGGGGAGAAAGGGGTGGAGGCTCACCTCAGCAGGCCCAGTGGGGCAGCACCTCAGAACTCCTAGCCTCCAGTCTCCTCCCAGCGGAGGCCGTGGTGGGATTGGGGGCAGGGAGAGAGTGGTCTTGGCTTTCTACATGGAGACTCTAAATGAATTTCTGGGGGTCACAATCCACCCCACACAGGGGTTTCAGGCAAATGACACACGGATGAGAGAATTTCAAAAAGTTGATGGAAAAACAATTAGAAATGAATGGTTTTCTCCACAATATACATTTTCTCACGAGGTTTTTAAAGACCACCTCATATGCCTTCTGAGAATACCCACGGCTTTTATTTGAATACAAACTGAGAACAAGTTCTCGCTGTGGACTCTCTTGGCTTGGTAGCTGCCCATGAGAGAAACGTTCCGGTGATGGGGAGGACAGAACCTTGAAGGGCTTGTGGGACACCAATCGTGTCATCTGCCTGCCCCAGTCACCAGCAAAATTGCTACTGCACTCAACACCCAGAAATGCATCCTGAGTCCCCAAATAGAAAATGTGAACTGGGAACCAGCAGTTAGCATAATGGCTATGTCGCTGGACTCCCACGTAGTCGACCGCGGTTCGCGTCCCGGACCCGGTGACTTAAAACTCACGCCGGGCGCGTGTGCCCAAGATCCCGAGAGGAGAATGGAGGAGAAGGGACTGCGGCATGGCCATCCCCCTGGGGGGTGATTTCTCACTTTCTGTCTTTCTGTCTCTCTGTGTCTGTCTGGCGAGCGCACGCGCCCTATACTGAAAACCTCTCCAAAAAAAAACCAAAAAAAAGAAAATGTCAACTGCTATAGATGGACAAAAACCACCAAGAAAGAAAAGTATGTCTGCCTATCCTCAATCCCCAGAGGCTGTTTCATTCCTCATAGCATGGCGGTGGTTGGGAGAATGCAGAGCACAGCCCCCACCTCTCAGGGATGCCGTGGAGGATACATGAGGTGGGGACAGTGATGCAAGGACCCGAGCTGTGATCAAGCTTGGCCTGAATCCCCCATCTCCTTGCTGTGAAGACCTGGGTGCCTGCCCTCAGCTCCCCACTGCGAGGCTGGAATCGTCCTCTGCTGTCGGTCCCTTGCCTCTATGACACCCTATGCGCAGGACAGAGCCAAACCCCGCCCTGTACCCTGTGGGATGCGTTCTGGATCTCACGGATCACGGCCTTGGAATCGGCCTTGAGCGGACAGGAGACCACGATGAAGCCGACGAACTTGAGGTTGCACTCCAGGGCCTCCCGCTTGACCTCCCGGGCCTGTGGAAAGAGAAAGTGCTCTCTCACCATTTGCACGCCTCTCATATATATATATTTTTTTTGCTATAGGGCATATGTGCTCACCAGAGACAGAGAGACAGAAAGTGAGAAATCACCCCCAGGGGGGATGGCCACGTTGCAATCCCTTCTTCTCTCGGGATCTTGGGCATGCATGCACATGTGCCCGGCGTGAGTTTAAGCCACCGGGTCCAGGACTCGAACCGCGGTCGACTACATGGAAGTCCAGGGACATAGCCATTATGCTAACTGCTTGGTTCCCACATCTCGTATTTTCTGAGCTCTGAACATATGCCGGGAGCCAGGAGGGCAACAGACTCCCTCAAGAACGGCAGTCTTTCATATTTTTTTTCTTTTTCCTTTTTTTGTTTTATTTATTTATTTGAGAGGTTTTTTTTTTCTTTTGGAGAGGTTTTTGCTATAGGGCGCGTGTGCTCGCCAGACAGACAGAGAAAGACAGAGACAGAATGCGAGAAATCACCCCCTAGGGGGGATGGCCATGCCACAATCCCTTCTCCTCCATTCTCCTTTTGGGATCTTGGGCATGGACGCACACGTGCCTGGCGTGAATTTAAGTGACCAGGTCTGGGACTCGAACCGTGGTCGACTACATGGGAGTCCAGTGACATAGCAATTACGCTAACTGCTGGTCCCAACAACGGCAGCCTTGTGTGACAGGGCTGGGGTTGGGAGAGGTAAAGGAAGACCCTGACTCACAGGAAGGACACTAAGGTCAAGAGGGAGAGGCAGATGGGTCTGGCAGTGGCCGAGTGGTCTAGGTCCCCACTGTGGCTAGACCTCCTGGCTGTGGACAGAGGCAAGTCACAGAGCCCCTGTGGCTCAGTTCTGCGTTGATGAGGCTGGGACTCTCCTGCACTTAGTCAAATAATCCTTACTGCCATGGTTCACATCCACCAAAATTTATGCAGTGAGAAAGGACTGTGAAGTGAAGGTAGTGATAGAAAATTTACTCTCTTCATGGTTTAGACAAGGCAGGCCTTGGGGCCAGCAGATGATGTAGCAGTTACGTTGCTGGACTCCCAAGTGGGCGACCATGGTTTGGTCCAGACCCAGACCCAGTGGCTTGAAAATCATGTTGAGCGTGTGTGTGTGTGTGTGTGTGTGCGTGTGCATGCGTACCCAAGGTCCCAGGTGGAGAACGGTGAAGGGATTACAGTGTGGCCATACCCCTTGGGGGGTGGTTTTTTACTTTCCCTCTCATTGTCTCTGTCTGACAAGTAGGGCAAAAGAAAAAAAAAAAAACAAAAAACAAACCAAAACAAACACATTAAGAAAAAGGGGGAGGGGCGGCAGGTGGCGTGGTGGTTAAGGTGCTGGACTCCCACGTGGTGGATCATGGTTCGAGTCCTGGACCTAGCGGCTTGCTTTCCTACTTTCCCTTTGTCTCTCTGTTTCTCTCTCTCTCTCCCTCTCTGGTCAAATTACAATAAGTAAATAAAGTTTAAAAATAAAATAATTCTGTAAAAAAAAAACAAAAACAAAAACAAAAAACAAAGGTCTTTGGAAGTAATTAAGTGGTTAGAGGGCCCTATGATTGATTCCTTGGGCGGAGGGTCCCAGGGAGCAGGAAAGACCAGGAGACATGGATGGTTACATAGATGCACATGCCTGTCCCCTCATGCCATGACATCCTGCATGGCCTCAGGACCCACCAACTGGAAAACTCACCAGATAAAAGCCCCCAGACCAGGACCTCTAAGTCATGAGCTGAATAAACTGTGCTCTCCTGTTATTCAGTCTCAGGTATTTTCTCTTACTAACCATGGAACAGACTGAAACCCACCCCTGCCACCGTGTATCAAGAATTAAGGAGGGACCAGCAGCTGGAGTAATGGCTATGTTGCTGGACTCCCATGTAGTTGACTGAAGTTCAATTCCCAGACCTGGTGGCTTATACTCACGCTGGTGTGTGTGCCCAGGATTCCAACAGAAGAATGGAGGAGGATGGATTGTGGCATGGCCATGCCCCCTGGGGGATGATTTCTCGCTTTCTGTCTCTCTCTGTCTTTCTGGCAAGCGCATGCACACTATAGCAAAAACCTCTCCGGAAAAAACAAAAAAACAAACAAACAAAAGAACCCAAAGAATTAAGGAAAACCTCCTGCCCTCAAAGAGCCCACTTTCTTTTTCTTTTTTTTGGGAGAGGTTTTTGCTATAGGGCGCATGCGCTCGCCAGAGAGACAGAGACAGACAGACAGACAGCAAGAAATCACCCCCCAGGGGGGATGGCCACACCTCAATCCCTTCTCCTCCACTCTCCTCTCAGGATCTTGGGCATGCACGCACATGCGCCTGGCGTGAGTTTAAGCCACTGGATCCGGGACTCGAACTGCGGTTGACTACATGGAAGTTCAGCGACATAGCCATTACAGTAACTACTGGTCCCAGAGAGCCCACTTTCTACCAGGGGAGATGGACAAGGGCAATCACAGAACAGGGTGTGGAATGCCTAAGGTGTGAATGTGGGCAATGGGGCAGACAGGACTGAGGGGCAGCATCTAGAGGGAGTCAGGCCTGTGTTCCTGGGAAGAAGGGGCCCAGGTGCAGGAGTGAGGCAGGGCGTGAGGCCAATGAGCATGCACCAGCTGAGCACGGTCTGGACCTGGACTCAGCACACAGTGCTGTGGCTTGTCCTAAAGTTCTGGAGGATCTTGTAGCTGACAGGGGCAGGCCAAGGCAGAAGCAGGCCAAGCAGCAGTCATGTCAGCAGACGAGCCAGGAGGGTGGAGTGGTCTAGGTCCCCACTGTGGCTAGACCTCCTGGCTGTGGACAGAGGCAAGTCACAGAGCCCCTGTGGCTCAGTTCTGCGTTGATGAGGCTGGGACTCTCCTGCACTTAGTCAAATAATCCTTACTGCCATGGTTCACATCCACCAAAATTTATGCAGTGAGAAAGGACTGTGAAGTGAAGGTAGTGATAGAAAATTTACTCTCTTCATGGTTTAGACAAGGCAGGCCTTGGGGCCAGCAGATGATGTAGCAGTTACGTTGCTGGACTCCCAAGTGGGCGACCATGGTTTGGTCCAGACCCAGACCCCGCGGCTTGAAAATCATGTTGAGCGTGTGTGTGTGTGTGTGTGTGTGTGTGCGTGTGCATGCGTACCCAAGGTCCCAGGTGGAGAACGGTGAAGGGATTACAGTGTGGCCATACCCCTTGGGGGGTGGTTTTTTACTTTCCCTCTCATTGTCTCTGTCTGACAAGTAGGGCAAAAGAAAAAAAAAAAAACAAAAAACAAACCAAAACAAACACATTAAGAAAAAGGGGGAGGGGCGGCAGGTGGCGTGGTGGTTAAGGTGCTGGACTCCCACGTGGTGGATCATGGTTCGAGTCCTGGACCTCGCGGCTTGCTTTCCTACTTTCCCTTTGTCTCTCTGTTTCTCTCTCTCTCTCCCTCTCTGGTCAAATTACAATAAGTAAATAAAGTTTAAAAATAAAATAATTCTGTAAAAAAAAAACAAAACAAAAACAAAAAACAAAGGTCTTTGGAAGTAATTAAGTGGTTAGAGGGCCCTATGATTGATTCCTTGGGCGGAGGGTCCTAGGGAGCAGGAAAGACCAGGAGACATGGATGGTTACATAGATGCACATGCCTGTCCCCTCATGCCATGACATCCTGCATGGCCTCAGGACCCACCAACTGGAAAACCCACCAGATAAAAGCCCCCAGACCAGGACCTCTAAGTCATGAGCTGAATAAACTGTGCTCTCCTGTTATTCAGTCTCAGGTATTTTCTCTTACTAACCATGGAACAGACTGAAACCCACCCCTGCCACCGTGTATCAAGAATTAAGGAGGGACCAGCAGCTGGAGTAATGGCTATGTTGCTGGACTCCCATGTAGTTGACTGAAGTTCAATTCCCAGACCTGGTGGCTTATACTCACGCTGGTGTGTGTGCCCAGGATTCCAACAGAAGAATGGAGGAGGATGGATTGTGGCATGGCCATGCCCCCTGGGGGATGATTTCTCGCTTTCTGTCTCTCTCTGTCTTTCTGGCAAGCGCATGCACACTATAGCAAAAACCTCTCCGGAAAAAACAAAAAAACAAACAAACAAAAGAACCCAAAGAATTAAGGAAAACCTCCTGCCCTCAAAGAGCCCACTTTCTTTTTCTTTTTTTTGGGAGAGGTTTTTGCTATAGGGCGCATGCGCTCGCCAGAGAGACAGAGACAGACAGACAGACAGCAAGAAATCACCCCCCAGGGGGGATGGCCACACCTCAATCCCTTCTCCTCCACTCTCCTCTCAGGATCTTGGGCATGCACGCACATGCGCCTGGCGTGAGTTTAAGCCACTGGATCCGGGACTCGAACTGCGGTTGACTACATGGAAGTTCAGCGACATAGCCATTACAGTAACTACTGGTCCCAGAGAGCCCACTTTCTACCAGGGGAGATGGACAAGGGCAATCACAGAACAGGGTGTGGAATGCCTAAGGTGTGAATGTGGGCAATGGGGCAGACAGGACTGAGGGGCAGCATCTAGAGGGAGTCAGGCCTGTGTTCCTGGGAAGAAGGGGCCCAGGTGCAGGAGTGAGGCAGGGCGTGAGGCCAATGAGCATGCACCAGCTGAGCACGGTCTGGACCTGGACTCAGCACACAGTGCTGTGGCTTGTCCTAAAGTTCTGGAGGATCTTGTAGCTGACAGGGGCAGGCCAAGGCAGAAGCAGGCCAAGCAGCAGTCATGTCAGCAGACGAGCCAGGAGGATGGGCTCTGTGGGTGATAGGACATGGGGTGAGAGCCCAGGATGCTGCTATGACCAGCTGTCAGGCATGGCAGGAGTAGAGCTGAGCAGGAGATGGGGGAGCCAACAAGCCTCCGGGCATTTCTGGGGTGGGAGGTACACAGGACAGCCGGAGCAGGGACAGGAGGGGAGACCTGGGTGTGCTCGGCATGAAGAGCATTTCATGAACCAGGTCCCACAGTGGGGAACCAAGTACCCAGTGCTGCTTAGGGCCTCCTAAAGTAGTAGCTGGGGGTGGGGAGAGGACGAAATCACATGTGGTAGAGGTCAGCGGTGGCACAGTGGTAAAATACAATGCTCTGCAAAGCAGACACACATGGGAAGGTTTTTGGTTCACATCCATGTGTACCCAGCTGAGGGTAGATTGTGGGTCGTGGGATCAAGACCTCATTGGGGGTGATGTCTCTCTCATGAAATGAGTGGGAAAAAAGTAATTATAAACAAAAAATTAGTAAATGAACAGCTAGGGCCGGCAGATGGCATGGTGGTTAAGGTGCTGGACTCCCACATGGCTGACCATGCATGGTTCAAGTCCCAGACCTGGTGGCTTGCCTTCTCATTCTCCCTCTCTCTGTCTGGTCAAATTGAAGAATAAATAAATAAATAA